ATGGCCTTCTGTTCTTTTGAGACGCTGTCATCTTGTTGCTTCTGCAGGGGCAGAGCACCAGCTTCCCGTGTGGCACCATCTGGGGAGGTGACAGGATTGGCGAAGAATGTGCTGGCTTGGGATAGGGCTTCTAGTGCTGCATGTGCCCTGAGTTTCACCTTGTGATGCCTCTGACCCTTGTCTACCAATATGCCACATGAGCTGGTTGGATATCCTGCTGTCCCAGCTACCTCCCACTTCTCATTTTCTAGGGACGTGTAATATAGGTATAATCATGTATCAAACTGATCAGGATGTGTTTGTGTGACTTACATCAAATATTTCCAAAATACTTTATTTTTTATAATCTCATTTTCAGCCCTACCACAAACCTGTGAGGTAGGAAACACAAATATTTTTGTTCCATCTGACATATTAGGAAACTTAGGCAAATAGAGATTAAGTTAATGGCACAGTCCAGGTCTCCTGACTCTCATTTCTGGGCTCCTCCACTAAATTAAACTGGATTAGTCTTTTGGGATAAGTGTGAAAGGGTATGCAACTGAGTTCTTTGTGGAAAAGAAATAACTTGATAAATTATATTAAATTACTGTAGGAGTAGATAAAAAACAAAGTTCTATTTCCCTTGTTGAGAATTTGCCTTTGAATCCCACTGTGAAATGGATTAGAATGTTTTGTTAGGATGGGAGCAATATACAAACCCAGAAAAGGTACATCTCATATTCTTTTAAATGGGTAATTTCTCCGGGGACTTCTTTACATTCTGAAAATTCACTTTATTATTGCATCCTAAGGTTTGTGGCTTCAAATGCCATGGCTTCTGCGTCTAACTTTTATTGGTGATATTTGTGTTTATCACTTTCTACTGTCATCCTCTCCCATTCCCTTTGTTTTGTTCCATAGATAGGATTTGATTTATGAATGAGAGCTTTTTGATTCTTCAAGACATATTTTGGTGAATTGGTTCAATAACTTGTTATGGAAAAAGCAAAATCCATCAGGGATGTATTTGCCTACTTCCTCTCAAAAGAAATCTCTCCTGGAAACCCACCCACTCTGAATCCATCAGTCATGCCGCATTTCTGTATTTCATCCACATTGATTTGTTTGTTAAATTTGTCCATCAAAGGGTTCACCTTAAAATGTAGCTTTAAGATTTCTAATATTTGGAAATTAAACTTGTGTCTTGCCCACCCCCCACCCCCCCGAGGTAACATGCACACTGCAATCTAGATTCAAAAGCCTTTTTCGACTTTGGTTCAGATGCAGAATAAACTGCTGGGTCAGTTGGAAAGAAGTCTTAAGAATGAGAAAGTCACCTGATGTAGAGTGTCCCTTTTATGTCACTCTGATGATCTCAGTCTCAAGCCAAGTTCTTCCCTTTGTTGTTTTGAGCGGTCTTACTGAGATGCTGGAGTTGAACCCGGGACCTAGGAAGCATGGTTCAAGCCAGCTGTAACCCCCCACCCCACCCCCCACCTGCAGCAGCAGAACTCTGGTTTCGGGGACTCTGATTTTTTGTTTGCCTCTGAGAGGTTTCAGTCTGTTGGCCTGACTGTCGAGGTTTAGCATCTCAAACACTGGAAGAGCTTCTGCCGCCCAGACTCTGCCTTACTCTCCAATCCCACATTTATCACCTGATGCCTTTTGTCATGTTGCAGCCGTATCAGAAATAGACACTTTCCTGTTCCGTCTTGGCACTAACATGGAAGATTCAATGAGACAAAGGAAGAATTTTGCTTTCTGTCTGCTCTATACATTATTCATATTCAATAATCATATTCAATTGGATTCTTTTCTTCCATGTGGCAGACATACTGTATTATCTTTTCCCGCTGAAAACATGGTTTCATGAGGCGTCTTCTTTTCTACCAAGGTATTTGACATCTGGCCTCCCATCTGGCTTCCTAGCAGAAACATCTGGAGAGCTTTGAAAAATACAGGACCTGAATCCACAGGTCTTGGGGAACCTCTCTGGGAGCTTTTACCTACAAAGCTGCACCAGTGAGTCTTCTGACCAGCCAAGCTGGGGAACCACGGCTCCAAAGCACGTGTGTCCCAGTCCCTGGGAACATCCCCGGGTTGGAAGCTTCACTAGCAGGACTCGGAGGACTCAGCATTGTCAAGTGTCGGGGGATGATTTCTTACAACAGAGTGATCGAAAATAAAAGTAGTGAAGGGAAAATGAGCCTGGGGAGAGAGGCTCCAAGGAGACCAGGCATAGGTTTCCAAGAGTCCTCTCGTGCGGTCCCCCAGGAACTGCTTAATTCCTCCAGCATTGAATTGTGATAGGCCAAGAAGCTCACTAGAGACTCAGTGCCCAAGATGGTCCCATCACCTTGGCACCCTCTGCCTACATGTACCCAAACTCCAGACTCCCTGGAGAAATCAGGAGTGCAGCATAAACCACCCTGTTCACCCAAGCAATTCGGGCACACGAAGCCACTCTAACCTACTAGGGAATGCTCCCCAAATCCAAGTTCCCTGATGCTGGCCAGGGACCAGCCTTGAAAACAGGCTAAGGATAGGAGTCTTGGACCTCCTGCATTATCTTTTCTCTTCCTGAATAGTTATATAGAAAAGAGGTAAGAGATAACTCGATTCAAAGCATGTTAGCCAAGTTTCTGTAGTGGGTAAGAAGAGAAACCTCTGGATGAAAATGGAGATTCAGGTGGTGAAATATGAAACTCCATTCCTTGAGGATCTTCATCAGCAAACTCACTTGTCCTTAATGAAGAAGCGGGCCATGAACTTGGGATGTGGACCATCCACCTCCTTGAGACCTTTTGGTGATTGGGCTCCACATAAAAAAGAATAGATGGTTTGCTTGTTTTATGTCCTCAAAGACCACAACTAGATGAACCTGGAGACACGCATTCACTTGTGTCTCCTGTTCCCTTTTCCAGTTTTTCATATGGAATTGCTTTTCCTTTAATCTCTGGAAAGGCATGATTGTAAGTGGGATGAGATGGTCAAGGCCTGCAGCACATCCAAGTCACTCAAAGCTGCAAGTTCCATGACTCCACTTTGAGTTCCCCAAAAAGAAACAATGATTTTAATATTCAACATCTTGGGTAACCAGGCATTTGCTTTTTTTTTTTTTTTTAAAGAAAGAGTGAGAGAGGAGAGAGAGAGATAGAGAGAGAGAGTTTTTAATATTTATTTTTTAGTTCTCGGCGGACACAACATCTTTGTTGGTATGTGGTGCTGAGGATCGAACCCGGGCCGCACGCATGCCAGGCAAGCGCGCTACTGCTTGAGCCACATCCCCAGCCCCAGGCATTTGCTTTTATGTTAGTAATACTTTGTAGGATGCTTTGATTTTTCTGTAGACACCGGCATCTCCTGCATCTACAGCCTTCCAGGATTACCTGGTGGCATAGAGGCAACTCCTCTGAGGCAGGGGATGGCAAGATCAATAGGGAGAGCCAACTCTTTATTCCCATGGGAAACTTCCTGGCAAAGAACCTGAGTATTTCTTTATTCAACTTGCACATTTCCTTCCCTCTAAGCAACAATATTCTACCTCAAGTTCATCTATGCATATTTGCTTATATTCAGTTCACTGATTCAGATGATTAGTGGGACAGCATGTCCCTTGTACAAAACCCTTCTTTAACCTAACAATGACAGTCAGACTCACTCAGACATTTTTGTCAAGGTGCAAAAGCCCCTTCTTATCGGACTTGTTTTCCATGAGTTTAATCATTTCTTCCATTTCTCTCTCTTTTCCATTTCTTTATATTCTTCTTAAAAGTGTGGGCCATAATTGGATTTTCTGATTTTCAATACAAACATACTCTCTTATACACCTAAATTCTTTACAAAAATTTTGACAATTATATGTAATTTAATATGTATTAAAACTAAAAATAGGTAAAACAAATACTAAAAATTTTCTAAGTCATGGGTATAACATGTAAATTACCTTGATCTTGTATTAAGTGTAATTCTCTGCTTTTTGAGTCAATTTTTAAAAATATGAATGTTTTAAGAAGCAAGACTCTTTGGCAATGAACGTGTTGTGGACAGGTGAGCCACTGTGGGCCAGAAGCAAGGCCTTGCTGCTCTGCATATTGTAAAATGGTGCACGCCATTGAGGAAGGATCTTGTCTCCATCCTGGATGCCAATCACCAATACCTGCAGGCCACTACGATTGCCTGACCCAGAAAGCCCACACAGAGCTTTCCTTTTGAGAAAAGGAAAAGTTGCCTGTTCATCATCAGCTTGTGGTCTACTGTAATCTCAGGCTCTTTTCCATTACGGTCATTTTCCATTTCTCCCTCACTTTCATTTGAAACCAACCTGCTGTCATTTACTTGTTAGTAAATGCCTTCCTTTGTCTATCCAACAACCTATGTTGAGACTTTTGCTATTCTTAATATCAGGGTAATGAAAATGTTTATTCTCGTGACTTAGAATATTCCTGACCTCACCTAGTTTCATGTTCTTGAAAATTTGATGAGATGAGTCTTGATATTTTCACCCAAGAAATAAATACTTTGTACAAAGTGCTCTGGAAGGATAGTATATGTGGACAGATCTAGAACATTGAGAACTTTTACTGAGAACTATGCAAGCACAGAGTGATACAAAAACCTAAGGCATATTCTCAAGCCAAACTATCATTCAAAACAAATATAAGAGAATTGCCAAATAATAAAGAAGGCTTAAAAGAGAATCTGTGGTATTTTTTTGAGGGTTGGACCTTTCAGCATTGCCAGGCCCAGAGGTTTAACAGCAATCCAAGTGTCACTGTGCTGTGACATCAAAGAAAAACCCCTGGTGTGTCACCAGAGCTTACCATTTCTTGTGTAGGAATAATTGAGATAGATAGATAGATAGACAGACAGACAGATAGAGAGGTGTATTTGTGTGCTGTCTAGGCAGGAGGACCACGAGGGTGGAATAGGTGGGCTCCTGATTTTTCCACTACCATGTACACCTTTTCCAAGTGGGACCTTAGAGCACATTCCGTAGAGGACCACTTGATCTGGTGGGTAGTCAATGTGGTGCATTTATTTCACATATTTACAGTCGTTCTTATATCATAGCTTATATGAGGCTTCGGAGCAGAATGATTTTTAAACGTTTTTTTTAAAAAAATGTCACAAATATGATATATAGAACCAGTCAACCACCCTCCACCTCTTTCACCCCACCCTCCACCCATTAGAAACATTTTGTTAAAGGTTCAGGTGATCAGACCCCTAGAAAATGAACTGTGAGTAGTGTCTTAATGGCAAAAGGAGTGAGCTCTCAGGGGTACAGGAAGTGGAGGAAGAGAAACGGTTTTCTAGAGCGGCGGTGGGTTTCTGAAAGGAAGGAAAAGCTGTGCATTTGTTAGAAAACGAAGCTAAAGAACTGAAGAAGGCGATGTCCTCTAAAGCAATGGGAGGCTTCACCTGGCACACCTGCAAGTGCTACTAAGTGCTACTTAGCTGTGGGCTGAGCCTGGCTGAGGAGCAGAGGCCGAGGCCCTGGTGTGAGGGTGAGGTCAGCTGGACATGGAGAAGACAGCTCACCTGCAGCCTGCACATAGGTTCTGGAACATGTCCTGGGTGATTGAGAACATTCAGGGCCCAGGGCCAGCATCCTCCTGCTCCTTCAGGGTAAGCCACTCAAAGTAGGACAGCTAAAGGGATCAGGGATCTGAGCAAGGCCAAGTCTACTTGAGCTAAGCCGCTTGCATCTGGGTAACGCGGCTTGTTATCTCATAGGCATCATTCCTGGTCATTGGAGCCCAGGGATGGACGCTCCTCTTGGAAGGATGCAGGGGATCTGCCTCTGGCAAAGTAGTGCTCACTGTTGCTATCAGAAGTGATAGAACACCAGAGGGCGCTCTGATGGGGTCCACCTGGTACTTTTACTGCCTCGCCAGGATGTGAGTAACGGTGATTCTGCAAGTCTTCATGGCAAGAGTCCATGTTAAGACTCCTCAAATGAGTTTATAAAATGCTTCCATTTCCATCCCTGATGTAGGAAAAGGGCTTCTGCAGTGTTTGGGACCGATGTGCACTGAGAGTAAAACGGTAAGACACATAAAATGGGGGAATGAAGACCCAGAGTATTCTAGTCTGGGGAATCCATGATCTTTCAGAAACAAGGCATTTGTATTTTATATTATCGATCCACTAACTTTCTATTCACTTAACATGTGATTTTTCAATGAGAGGACTTATTAGAATTCGGAAACGATTCTGCTGTAATGCTAAACAATCCTCATTATTAAAAACTCACTCTACTCTTGAGTTAGGGCAATGACTACCAGTGAATTGACATAAGCCCACATTTCATTTTAATCAAAAACTTGAAAACATTACTCCCTAAATAGGCAGCAATGTATTTTATAAGCACCACAGAGGTTTAGTACATAGTTTGCATGGTTAATTCAGAAACAACCCCCAACACCTGAGGGTTACTTGATATATGCGACCATCTTCTTCTCATGGGATATGAGGTAAATTCAGACCAGGGAGCCACTGGGTACACGGTCAGCCCTAGGCTCCATGGGGCTGTCCTTCATAAAAGTGAAAGAGGTACAGGCTGATGTTTCCATTATAAAACCTGTAATGTTTGGACTGCGACACAACTTAGAATTTTTAACAGCTGAGAACTCATCGTTTGAACAGAAATAAGTGTCATTTTAGCCACTTTTGGCACCACTGTGCTAGAGAGCACGTTTGGCCTAGAATTCCATTGACATCAAGACCTTGTTCTGCTGGAGACCTAGGGCAAACACAAAGTCAAGGCCGTCTCAGAAGTACAGGTAGTATGCCCAGTAGAAAACATTGGCTAGCATAAAAACCAAAGGGAACAGTAGTTTGGAATATCGATCAACATTGCTGGGGTTTTGAATTGTGAAATAATCCACAATCCTGCCCATCTTTTCTCGGAAGACGAACTTGAACTTGTCGCTGGTTTTCATTGTCATGTTGCTGTAGTCAACATTGTCACCTGAGATTTCAATGGTGGCAAAGCTGATCTTCCGCTTAAAGCTGGAGAGGGAGCTGTTGATGATGTTAGTGATGTTGACTTCTTCCACCTCCTTCGCCGTCCCCTAGTTCACAAACCACGCCGTTAGCTTGGAAGACTTGATTCAGCAAAGAAATAAGTGGGCACTAAGCTAATGAGAAGTTTAGAAGCCTAAGTGTTGAGTAATTAGGTTTAACAGAGACTTGCAGCCCTGCTGTCCTGTTTGTGGGCACCTACCTGGGTGTCCCCAGCCTGCATGATGAACAACCATCACCCTCCCTAGATCTACAGGGCGGAGTGCCAGATACCAGCTGCGCAGGCTGAGTGGGTTTAGATCCCACTCAGCCTCCTACTCTTGTGGATATCTTGTCACCTTAATCCCTCTTAGACTTCATTTACTTGCCTGCAAAATGGGTCATGATATAAATAGCTACCGTGGGAGCTGATGGGGAGAAGTATCTAGCAAGTATTTGGTGGAATTCTATTATTTTCCAGGGAGAAGGAATTAGTGGTTATGGGAGATAATAGAAATCAGCCGTGTCCTGAGGTCTATGCCACACAAAAATGGAAACTTTGATGCTCCCCTTGCAGTGGCAGGGGGTTGGTATTCTCTAGCAGGTGGGCGTGGCCAGGCTGCGGGGAATGTAATGCAGTCAGATAGAATGTGGTTTGGATTTGGGGATAGGCTATTTATTAGGAGTAGGGTCCTGGATGAGTCACCTTGCCTCTCTGGCAGGTTTCTCTATAGTAAAATAAGGACAATAATGGTACCTATTTCACTGGGTTGTTGGGTGGACTAAAAGCTGTTGATAGGTGTTTAGCATACAGCAAGTAATCAATAGCGCATCTATTATTACACACTCAGGAAAATAAGAGCATCTGGTGCTTTGGTGGAGGATCTCAGTCACATTCCAATCCCGCTTTTACCAATCTAGAAAACTAGACACTTGGCGGATAATTAGACCCTTTTCCTGTCCCTTCAGGGAGCCTGCAGGGAGCAGAATGAATGAAACCCACATTCTTCTTTGGCTGGCTCAGTGCGTAGACTTCTTTGCCTGTGTCACTTGGACAACGTGGCTTTGTGGAGTGCTGCTGGCAACAGCAGGACACAAGAGGAGCCCCTTCTTCCCCTTCTGATGATGCCTCATCTGCCCACTGTTGGACCTAGCACAGTCTGGCCCATTGCCAAAGGCAGGTACGTCTTTTGAATTGGATCCTACTATTTTCTTTCTTATTCCTATTGGCCTATTAAAGGACGGTAGGATCGATACAATTTGGCTCCCAAATGACCCAAGGATTCCTCGGGGCTGTAAAGAGCAATAGCCAAGAGCAAGGCCCAATGTCTACGGCCAGCAGGACAGAGGGACAGGGCCAGGCTCAGAAGCCCAGATCTAGATGGAAATCCCCCCTCTACCTCTTACTCTCTGTGTCCCTGAGATAAACCTTCTCGTCCCTCAGATTCCACAAATGAAAAATGGAGATAAGAACCTTGTTGGTGGTTAGGAGCATTTAAAATGATATGATATTTCCAGAAGGTTTCGATCTGGTGTGTGTAAGTACTTAAATAATAACAATAGTCATTATTTTTCAGATAACTGGACCCTGATGTTCCGCTGCTAAATTAAAAAAAAATAACAATCTTTTCCAATTAGCAGAAAAATGTGCTAATCAAGAAATTTGTCTTGATTTAATTTTTCCATAAACCACTACTTGTATAATTTGAAAATGTAAGAATGCAACAAAAGAATTAAATAGTACCTACATATTAACCTGAAACTTGCAAACAACTGATCAAATGTAGCTGGAAATTAGATTTTTCATGGTTTCCTGTTCTTGTAATTGTATGCTGCTTATGGATAAGAATCATTTTCTGCTGGAATTAAATGTTCTGATATCTCATTGCGTTTGGTAAAAGGGATGGCCTTTTTCAAGGGGCCCCATGACTTCCAGGTGTGCCCACATTGGAAGGATAGGACTTAGTGGAACCAAGCAAGTCACTGGGTGACAGACACTAGAACCAGCTCACCTCTCCAGGGCAGCCCATGGCAAAGTGACAGAGCACCCACAGGGGCCTCAGGATTCTTACCCTGTCCTTGGCTTCCATCTGTTGCAGGGAGCTGTAGTGAGCAATAGCGTACTCCACCAAGGCCCCAAACACAAAGCTAAAGCAGATCCCCAGGTACACGTCGATGGCTTTGATGAAGCAGTTGGTGTTGGGAAGAGACGTGCGGGACCCAATCATCAGTGTGGTCATTGATAACACAGTGGTCACTCCTGGGAAAAGAGTAGGAAATGTTTCCAAGATGGCAGCCAATGGAATTTCCCGTTACCTGGCGGAGGGTCTCCACTCAGGGGTCAGCCAGGCAAGGACAGGATTCAGAAACGGAACATATCTCATTCTGAAAAACCTGACCTTGTGGACCTGGGTTAATTTGCCCATTTTGCACAGAAATGAGCAATGTGGTTTGCTAAACCATTTCCTTCCACAACATCACCGACAGGAGTCACCTGATCACAATTTCCCCTCATCTGTCACTTTAACAAATTTAAAATTGCACTGCTTCTAAAGTAGTCTCTGTCTCCTTCTATAAAAGACTCTCAAGAAGCTAGCTGTTGGATTGCCCTGGGAATACCAATGAGGACAGTGATGGAAGGGGGAAAAACGTACGTGGTGACCCAGTTCTTAGAAACTTACCGATGCAGGTTCTTGCAGGGACAGAATCCAGGGAGATCCAAAATGAAACCCAGGACAGCACCACCAGGAAAGTGGAGGGAACATAGGTTTCCAGAATGAAGTACAGGACATTCCTCCGCAGCTCAAAATGCAAGACCAACCGGGTGTAATTTCCTGACGGGGTCAATAAGAGACAAGAAATCGTGTCTGCTCACATGGCAGAGCAGAGTCCCCACGGGACGGTTGACTGAACTATATTCACATGAAGCCCCCAGTTATTCACCAAAGCCTGGCTCATGTCGAACTGCCATGGTCCCCACAACACCTGGGTATTTTTGCATGGAGTGCGACTCCCAGGGCTGCTGGCACTGTGCATTGCAAGTTCCACTTGGGCTTTTCTCCGTCATCTGACTCCTACACTGTTGTGACCCCCGGTGCCCTTGACATCTCCTCTCTAGACTGTGAGCCCCCAGCATGCAAACCCTGCATCTTTCAGTTCTGTGCTTACAAAGTAGTTGTTGGGTAAGCACCTCCTCGAGGTTACCTGAGACTGTCCATTTCTCAATATTCCCACTGGGTAGACCTAATAGACCCATTCAATGGCATTTGATTTTTTGATGTGTCAGAGGTATCCTGGATTTATGTACTTTAGGAAACTATCACACCCTAGACGTGGGGGATACGAGCAATGAGTGCTACTGCTGATGGAATTCTGAGCAGGAGAGAGGGACTTGGGGCATACAGCATGTGCCGCGGGTTGGAGAAACAGGTGCTTCTGTGAAGGGAAGGTCATTGCAGCCGACAGGGCAGCAGTGGCCGGTGCTGGGCTGGGGAAGAGTGGAGAGGTTGTGCCCTGGGAACAGAAGTCTGGCTCAGACTAGAGTAGGGAGAAAACAGGAGAGCTGAGGGGACAGCTCAAGTTCCTGCCACCCCAAGGTAAATACTAGATTTAAAATTCTACCATAAATTAGCTAATGAGCAAGTGATGAGAAAGTAGCAGATGCTCATAATCAAACCCCGTCTTTGAGAAAATCCTGTGCGAGGAATAGGTGCAGACCCTCCGCCCTCCACCCCTTCTGCCCCTCTGAGGGGTTTCTGGACCCTGAAGGAGTCAAGTGGAGAAGAGAGGAGACTTCTGATTCAGAGTGCAACCAGCCACTTCTGTTCGGTTATTTTTATTTTGTACGATTTGTCACACTAGTTACCTGTCTCCTGCTGGGACCTGGTGACTAAGGTGAAGTAGCGTTGTATGGTATACTGAGCAAGTCGCAGGTTTTCCAGCCCTCGCACGGAATCATTCCCTCTCAGCCAGGTGAACTCCACGTCATTTCCATCATAGCCCCCTGCCAATAAACAGAGCCCTGGTCAGTGCAAGGGTACCGACAGAACTGGTCTGGAAAATGCTATGACACAGAAACAGTTTGGGCTCCATCTTGATGGTAGTGGGCCCAAGGATGATTCCAGGCAAGACCTCTCACGTGCCACAGCAGTGCCTGCTCAGAGTGACGTCACCTACTAGGACATGCGCCATCCATTGAGAACTGGTCCTATGGTAAGCAGGGTCTAAACCTGCATGATGAGCCTTAGATATGGCCTCCTTCAGAGGCCAGCCTCAGCAACTTAGCAAGGCCCTACGCAACTTAGCAAGACTGTGTCTCAAAATGAAAAATAAAAAGGGCTGAGGATGTAGCTCTGTGGCCGAGGGCCCCTGGCTCCAATCCCCAGTAAGCAGCGGCCTCCTTCCTCACTGAAATACCATACCCACCAACACCCAGAGGCCTGTGCTGCACTGCTTCCCAGGCCAATCTAAGTGCCGATGGGTCTTCAGAGACTTCAGAACTGGTCTTTCATATCGCATTGGTGGAAATGCGAAAACCGGAACAAGAATCCTGCAGCCAGCCACTTCAGTGATGCTTGTCACCAAGTGAGTTTGATAATCTCAAAGCAGTTTTATTAACTTAGCCAATAATTGTAATCCTGGACCCACTTGGTCTCTAATGTTCTCACAAACTTGTAGTCATTTCTGTGTCTCTTCAATAAGTATTATGTATCATTCAATAAGTATTCTGTCTCAGAATTAAGGAGCTATAATGTTTTGCCCAATTTATACATAAAAGCTCTCAGATTCAGAGGGGTTGCCTAACTTTCTCCTGATAACAAAGAAGCAAGAAATAAAGCCTGCATTGAACTTTAGGAAAGTTTCATCTCAAAGCCCTTGGATGATAATGATGGTAATTATAATATGTCATTTAATTTAGTAAACATTACTAAGTGCCTTATAACATTATCATCTCATTTAATCCTCGAAATATCTCTTTGGAAATATATCTGAATGATTAATAAGCACACAAAAAATACCCAACATTATAGGTCATTAGGAAAATGCAAATCAAAACCACAATAAGATGCTACTTCATACTCATTAGAGTAACTACAATAAAGAAGACAGATAACAAAGTGAGGACATAGAGAAATTGGAACTGCACTGGTGGGAATGTAAAATGGTATAACCACTTTGGAAAAAGGTTTGGCAGTTTCTTGAAAACTTAAATATGTTTTTACCATTTGACCCATATTTCACACCAAGGTATCCGGTCAAGAGAAATAAAATCTTATTTATACAAACACTAGCACACAACTGTTCAGAGCAGTATTACCCACAATAGACAAATGTTTGTCGACTGATGAATAAATAAATTAACTGTGATACGTATACACGTACATCTCCATACAAAGGAACATTACCTGGCAATGAAAAAGAATGAAGTGCTAATAACACACTGTGTCACCTATGAACCTCAAAACTGTTCTGCTAAGTGGAAAAAAAACCAAATGCAAAAGAGCATATATTATATTGATTTCCATTTATATGAAATATTCAGAAAAGACAAATTCATACAGAGAGAAAGTAGATTCATGGTGCCTGGGAGCTGGTGGTGGAAGGAGGAGTGATTGCAGATAAGCCAAGGGGTCGGGGGAATGCAATATGGCAATGGTCACACAACTTGGTAATTTTACTAAAACTGTGGAATTCTATACTTAACAACTGTAAACTTTAGGTATGTAAATTATACCGTAATAAACCTATTGAAGTGGCTGGGGTTGTGGCTCAGAAATAGAGCACTCGCCTAGCACATTCGAGGTGCTGGGTTCAATTTCAGTACCATATAAAAATAAATAAATAAAATAAAGGAGTTGTGTCCAACTACAATATATATATAATCTATTGAAAACCAACTCACTGAGCCAGACACTATTACTTTCTCACTTCACTGATAAGTAAACTGAGGTCCAAAGAGTTTCATTACCCAAAGCCAAATGGCTATGGATGGGAAAAGTCCAGGGATTCCAGTACCTATGATCTTAAACACAAAAATATATCACCTTTATTTTCCCCACATTTTTATTGGTGCATTACAGTTGCACATAGTGATGGGATTTGTTGAAACATGTTTGTACATGCACACAATATATTGCCTTCATTTTCTTTTCTTTTTCTTTTTTGGTGCCAGGGATTGAGCCCAAGGGAGTTTAACCAGTGAGTGATGTCCCCAGCCTTTTTACACATTTTTTTTTTAATTTTGAGATAGGGTGTTGCTAAGTTGCTTAGGGCCTAAGTGGCTGCACTTGCACTCCTCCTGCCTCAGCATACAAGCTGCTGGGGTTACAGGCATCGTGTGCCACATGCCCAGCCATTGCCTTCATTTTCAAAGGCTGCTAGGAAATATGGAGTTAGTGCTGGGACAAATATTTTGAAAAGAATCTGCTTCTGGTAACCAATGTCTAGTAGGGGTGGTCTCCTCCTCCATAATGAACCAGCTCTTTAAAGATTTTCAGGTAAAAATTGTCTGTGGGCTTTCCTTTGGAAGCATCCAAAGTTCACTTTGGCACTGAAGTGAGCTGTCCAAATTGGTTGGGATCCCAAAGAACTAAAGAATCTGTAAAAACCCAAGAGTGCAGTTTCCTACTTGGACACTTTACTTTTGCAACTAGTAAAAGCACAATTGTTACATTAACACACACACACACACACACACACACACACACACACATACACCCCTGTCCCTGGGTGACTATGGTGAATTGTGGGATGGTATCAATTCATTTTTGGTGATGGCATGTAGCAAAAACCCTGAGTGAGGGTTCTGTACACAGATAACTGCTTAATAAACATGCATCGAAAGCTTCCCCTGCTCACTGGGGACAGTATTTGTGCAAACAGAATGTGAAGTTTCCAGCGGAATATTGCTCCTGGGATTTGAGATGAGCCCAGCCACGACACATGCAGGGCAATTACTTGTTTCATGTGGGACTCAGATGAGTTCTCTTTTGATAACCCCAAGTTTTATTCTGCTACCAAACAGCTGCATTGCTTCAGGAAGATTCTCCATGCATTTAATCAATAAGATAATTAATCTGAGTCTTTAATTAAATGTCTACTTTTGAAAAATGGCTTCTACCTCACCATGGGTGGACTTTCCTGATGCCGCCCACTGTGTCCTTAGGTACAGAGGGTCCATTTATCTCCAGAGCCTGTCCACAGTCCCCTCCACACCACAAGACAGGCTTAGCTGCCTTAACAAGTCCTATCTGAGGTACTCTTTCCCTCGCAGGTGACAAGTTTGGTGAGCACTTTAGAGTGGCTTATTAACAATGGAGATTGTTTAACAGTGCCAGGGAATTCATTTGACACACATCACTTAAGAGTAAATCTCCATTCCTCATCATAAGCAAATCCCCAGGTTGCAATTTAGATGCCCGTTTAGCTAGCATTGTTATGTTAAACTTTACATATAGCAAGTAAGTTCTTTTAAAAGTTGGAAGCAGTTGTGTGATAAATATTAACGGATTGTTTTGCATGTTGACCCTTTTTTTCAACGCTAGGGTTAGAACCCAGGGCCTTGAATGTGCTAGGCAAGCACGCTACCCGCAGGCCACGCCCCAGCCACGCCCCGACAGGCCCTGGCCACACCCCGGCCACGCCCTGACCACGCCCCAGACACACCGAGCCAGAGCCACGACAGCCCCCACCTGGCCCTGCTAACCTCTGCTATGTTCCCTCTTGCTCTTGTGCCTTGGCAGACGCTGTGTCCCACTCCTCGTCCCCTGGGCCAGCTTCAACAGATCCCTCATGTCTGATTTCAAGTGATATCTCCTCTAGAACACCTCGAACTCCTCCAGGCTCCACAGTGCCATTACTTCTTATTGTCACCATCTAGTCTCTGTAATTATTTTAAGTCCTGCTTTCCATGAGAGGACAGACTGAAGGCTGGCACATCATTTCATCTTTGTATTGCAAACATCTACCTCACTATCTGGCACAGAAGTCATTTAGTCGTTGAGTGGAAGAAGCAAAGGCATTTAAATGAGGGCTGACAGGTGGAACTCAACCAGCACTCCAGACTCGCTGGAGACCTTAGTGGGAAAATATGCAGAACTAAAGTATTAGAAAGAGTCAAAATATTTTCCTTAGGACACAGAGGAACAGAAAAACAGTGGCCCTCGTCCTAAGTAATGGAAATGAGCTAGCAGAGGAATATTGGAGTCCTGTGTGACGATTGTGTCCTAATCCAGTTTCACATTCTGGCAGGATTTAGGGAATCCAAAATAAGCATCATGTGGTTACTCAGTTTGGAGAAAATAATGATAATAAATGGGCACTAGAGAAACTGGAAAGGAGTTATTAAAAGCTTTTCATTATCCTCATATTACTGTTTAAAATCACTTTATGGTATACTCAGAAAATATATATAGCTTATATCATGAACGAGCCACAGGAACAAAATCCCTGTTGACCTTCTAGTCCAGTGGCAGGAATGTATGAAAAGTTTCTTGGTCAAGGAGGCCAGGGCAGTAGCACATCACGGTCACACACATTGGTTACATCCTCTCAGGAGTCTTTCCCTCTAGCTTCTCTACTTCCTCTGCAGTGAAGAGGGAGGTTTTGCTAGTGACCACAGTGCTTTTGCACCAGAAAAAAAATAAAAGGAGAAAAAAAGAAAGCTTTTGAGGCTTTCTAGAAACTAGAGGGTTATGTGCTGACAAATGGAAAGGGTGTTGGTAGAAGGTTGTCATTGGTGTCTGTAGGGACCCGTGGTTGATTGAATTTTGGTAGACTGACAGTGGGGGCGTGGGGGTGAAGATCATGGCCAAGGGGGATTCAAGAGGAACTCACCGAGCACCACAGACACTGTGAGGATGAGCAGCCAGATAGATGGTATAAATAAAAAGTTAAGAGTTAAACTATCAGGTGTTAGTGTAGACCCATTTTTATCAAGATGTTTTCTATAAAGTAGAGATACTCATGAAACAAGTGAGTCATATTCTGTGGTTACACAATTCTGGGAAATACTACTGCTCCTTCTTGGAATTTCACCTGGAATTTGCTCATTAGGGGCTCTTGGAAGCTCTGCAGCAAGGCAGACTGTCAGTATTTGTGGCTTTGTAGGCCCTTGGGTCTCTGTCATAAAAACTTGACTCTGCTGTCACAGTGTAATGGCAGCCACAGGTGACACATAAATAAGTGGGCAGGGCTGCCCCATGAATCGTGATTAACAGAAGAGGTGATGGGCTGACTTGGCACATGGGGGAGGCTTGGGGGCCCCTGGTCTAGACCATAAATCCCACTAAAGCATTCCCTTCCTTTGTCTCTTTGGTAATAATGCATAATAATGATAATAATGCACAATAATAATCCCCAAAAGATGTGATGTTAGAAGGTTTTTCTTTGAGAAGAACCTAAATCCGTTTGGAAGGATAGTCAGAAGGACTGAATCCATTGTGAAATCAACACCAGAAAAAGAAGGATCACTGAGTAGGGGACACTGAATTCCAGATGCAGGTCGCCCAGGAAAGGGGCCTGTGGGCGTGGCCACTCACAGCTCTCCAGCTGCAGCTTGCAGGTCTGCGTGTCCATGGGGTACTTGGACAGGTCCATGTTGCATGCCACAGTCGTTGTGATTCTAAGAAAGAAAAAAACGGGTTCAGAAGAGTGTTCCGAGGACTTTCACTTGGGCTCCTACAGGGATCATGTGGCGTGGAGACCCATCCCCACAAATTTTTGAGGTTTCCTGTGCTCTTTGTATGTTCAACAACACCCATGAGACTAAGAGAAGCTGGGTCCAGAATGGGGGAGTTGGCAGGCTAGCCACTCAGAGGCCAGCCAGCCAGCATATCACAGAGCAGACTCACGGCTGGCTGGTTTAAGATGTCTTCCTTTCAGTTTTTCAATGTGTCTACCTGTGCAAGGTCACGACAGTGATCACAGGGCTTGCTCAGGCTCAGGTGGCTCTGAGTGGCAGAGTTGGAACTGGAGCCCTGGTCTCCTGGCTTCTTGATGGGATCAGGATGCAGAGGGAGTGGAAGGTACCGGGCTCAGTGGCTCTCAGGGCTCAACACCCAGGGACGGTCAGCTCAGTGTCAGAGAAGCCCTTGTGGTGGAGATTTCAATCTACAAGATTTTTTTTTTCAAGAGTCACATATTTTCACTTGGCTTCCTTATTTATTAAGCACAGTGAGAGGTGCTCTAGGAAGCAGAGGTCACCATAGCAGTGCCCACCTTGAGGATCCCATGCTCCCCTAAAGGGAGACAGAATAACAAGGACCATTCATCCAGTGCTTGCTGAGTTCTCTGCGTTCGTTCAGCCCTTTGAGTGGCTCTGGGAGGTAGGCAATACTATTATTCTCATTTTGATGCTAAGGAACCTGAGGCTCAGAGGGTCAAGTAACTTACCTATGGCCACAGAGCTGCCCAGGACAGAGCAGGGATTGTACACAAGTCTTTATGACTCCAGTGCCAGGCTACAAACCATTACCCACTGTTGGTAATCCTTACCCCAAACTGATTGTGCTGCTGTCATGCAGACAGAAACACGGATAAGCACACATGTGCTGTGGGGACACAGGGAAGGGTACATCAGTGTTGATTGGAGTTGGGGTCAAGAGAGAGGTCTAGTTAGGTTTCTTGAAAGAGGAGTTGAGGTTTGGATTGGTCTTTGCAAAATTTGGGGCCGCTGACCTGTATGCAGAAGTCCTGTTAATGGCTAGCTCAGTCTTTGATTTATAACTTGAGACTCTTACTCTGTATTAAAGATCAGTGTCTTCGATATTTGGTCCTGGCCTCCACCCCCAGGCCTCGGGGAGCCTACTGTGCATGATCCTTGTACCTCGTATGCACAGGATGAGCCCTCGCTACAGCATGTAGAGACCTCTTTTCCTGTTCTAGCCCTCAGGCTCCATGAGTGATTGGGTGGAAGGAATTTTAGGCCTCAGGAGTTGGGGAGTACGCATGGAGAGCCCAAGAATGCAGGTGACAGAGGCTTGGTGGCACTGAGCCTTGATTCTGTGCAAATATGACTCAGATCAGCACTGTTACCTTCTGGAGCAACCTTGTTCCACCGAGTCCCATGAAGGGTCCCATGCACCTCTCTGCCCTTGTCATTTCCTTCATACTTGAAGACTCAGCCCAGAATCTTGTGAGAGCCTCTCCTAACATCACCCCCAAACCACTAACCTACTCCCCACCTTGGGCCCCAGCACTGAGGGATGCCTCTGTTTCCAGTGTCCTTGAAAGACAAGCTGTGTGTGTCCCGTCCAGCTCTGCTCCCTCGTATCCAGCGCAGGACTTGGCACAGAGCAGGTGCTCTGTGGATGCTGAGGAGCCAGAGTGGATGAGAGAGGGCCCACTGTTATGGGGAAGGCTCTAGGAGGGCAGGAGCATGGCAGAACGGCCTAGGATCATCTGAGTCTTCTTCCAGCTGCTTCACCTCCCAGCCCCAGTGCCAGCTCACCTGAGCGCATACAGGACTGTGCCATTGGAGAAGAGGCGGATAAGTCTGTTTCCCACAGTGACTTCGTGGAGGAAAGACTTCTTGGACTCCACGATGTAAGTGTCAGGCACCCAGAGGAACTCCACCAGGCGGGCGTCCAGAGTGAAGCTCTTGTTGCCTTCAAACACCAGCCGCGGGTCTGTCCAGCGCTGTCGCAGGTATATGGTGGCCGTGTAGTCCTGAGGAGGAAGCAGGGCACGGAGATGGGTGAGTGAATGGGGTGGGGGGGGCAGGGAACCCTCCAGAACAGATCACGAGGGTCACGTGTTACTCTCCCACTTCCACTTAGAGCAAGTGCGCAGACCTGGGTGGAGAAGTCGTGTGTCACCTGCAGCAGTGAGAGGAGACACTGTGCTGTTAATTCTAGATGATGACTCTCCTACCAGCAGGGAGTCCCGGTCCAGGGTCTTGACCTCCCTGGCCCAAAACCTTGCATTTCCCAAGATCGAATGGCTAAGGATTTTTGTGAGCAAAGTGCTTAGGTTGTCTGAGATGGACCTGGATGCCCAGTGATCTCTTGGCAAACCTCCCCCAGTGGGACCCAGTCTTTCAGGTGATCTCTTAGATGAGAGGGCCCATGGAGGCAGTCATTAGATGGTGGCTTTCCTGTGTCCCCATCTCTGAAGCACTTGTGTGATGTCCAGGCTTCCCCCAGCACTTTTATTCTTTTTTTCCAATTTTTTATCCCTCACTAAGTGCCTTCTTCACTCACTGGTTTCTCTCCTCCTGGCCTTTGAATCCATTTTCTTTCTGAGACTCAGAAACCCTGTTCTCCCAATTTCCCGCTATCTTGATTCTGGATCTAGTTCTCTAGCTTCTGGGATTCCAAGTGGAGGAGGGCAGTGCTTCCTCCCCTTCTGTCTTGGAGTAGCTGGACAGCACATGCCCAAGACACTCGAGGCCAGAGAGCCTTGGGTGAAATGGAGGGGAACGGCACTTACCATGTTACTCTCGGAAATACTAGAGATGCTTGCGATGTCCAGAGTCAGTGCTATCTGAACTGGTTCTCCTAAGAATGGAGAAAAATCCAGAAAAACTTAGTAGAAACACACAATATGTCCTTCTCCCCCACCCATCCATTTCACCCCCTTTGGACTACACAGCCACCCTCTGCATGGGTGCATTGGAAAAACAAAACTATTAAACATTGCAAAAGTAACACTTGCTTGTTAGAAAAATTTGAAAAATCTTAAATGATGACAAGGCTAATTTCTATCTTACTCCTTCTCAGGAGCAACTGCTGTGTATAGTGCATCTCCCTTTGTATGAAAAATATGCGTAAGTGAATTGTTATCTTACTACATATGAGACATTGCTCCATTACTTTAAAAGGCATAGTGATAAAGCAGATGGAGGATTTTTCCTGTGTTGCTTGCAAGGGACTAATCATGTAGAATGTGACAGACTTGGTAGTCTGGGTGGAGACCACTGTCCTCCCTTCTCTTCATCGAAGATGGCATTCATCTTGCCCCTTCATAGCTGAGCTCCTGATGATGTCCTAACACCTTCTCCTCTTCCTCTACTCTCCAGGAACCCTAAACTACTTAGAGTTCCAGAACCTTCTGCACTTTGTCCTGTGCACAGACTCTGTTAGGCCTCGATTCTGGAGAGCTGGCAGATGAATCCAACTCCAGAGAGAACTGTTCATAGCTCCCAAGACTGCAGGCTCCCAGCCACTGTCTCAGGAGCCAGGGCAGGCCAAGCCAGACTACTTCTCCTGAGACCACAGATGTGGGAAAAAAAACCCGAGTCTGAGCCATGTGAGTTCTCAGCTCCACCACATCCCAGTTCTGAGATTTGAGAAAAGTTCCCGAATCTTCTCGAGAGGTAGTGCTGTCACCTGCAAGTTGGGCTGATACTAATGACATCCTAGGGTCATGGAGAGGGTTAAATGAGGTCGGGGGTATGGCAGTGTCTTTGCCGAGTTTCGGTAAGAGGGAATGTGCGTGAAGTGCCTGCCCATCACCTGCAGAAGGTGCTCAGACACGGTTACCTGTTGCGAGTCCTGCTCATGTTATAATAGCTGCCGTCAGAGGCATTTCCCTTTCCTCCTCTCTCTTCCCCAATCCTAGCCAATTTGAGAGGAGAAAAGAACCTTTGCTCACTAGGTTAATAGATGCATTCACTTGCAATAAATAACTGGGAGAGCCCCAGGGGACTGTAGCAATGCATTAACTGGCAGAAGAGAGGTGGAATTCAAAAGAAGCTTGAAAACGTCTCATCCAAAGGAATCAGACAAAGCAGCTTAATTATTAATCTAAAGAAACCAAGCCATCGAATGGAGGTGGGAGTTTGGAAATGGAGTTTTAGAACCAATGCAATTGAAAGATACTTAAGCGTTAATACTTGGTGGGAAAAGAGAGATCTTTGATGGCAGACCCTGGAAGGTGCTTTCTGAAAGGGCGGGGTATAGAGTGGCTTCCTGCCCCATCTGGACAGCAAAGCACAGCATCAAGGAGAGGATCCTGGAGTCAGGGAGAAGGGTTTGAATCCCATGCTGGTCCCTTAACAGCCTTGCAACCTTGAGCAAATTGCTAGACCTTTCTGTGCTAGTTCACATAGAGGTACTAGTGCTGCTGTGGTTTGTTCCCTCTTGTTGTGGTTTGGATATGAGGTCTCCCCTAGAAGCTCCTATGTTAATTCAGGTATGTCTGGAGGTACAGTAATTGGCTTCTGAGAGCTGTGATCAGTCCATTCTAGTTTGAAAGGACTGACCGGGTGGTAACGTTCGGCAGGTGGGGTGTGGCAAGAACAGGTGAGTCACTGGGGTGTGTCCTGCCGTCCCTTTCCCTCTTCTCTCTCTCTCCCTGCTTCCTGGCTGCCATGAATGGGGCAGTGCTTCTCCAACATGCTCATCTACCATGATGGTCAGCCTCACCTTCGGCCCAAAGCAATGGAGTCGGCCGACCATGGACTGAACCTCTGAATCCCTAGGCTCGAAATAAACTTTTCTACCTCTAAGATGTTCTTGCCAGGTATTCTGGTCACAGTGATGGGAAAACGACCAGCACACTTCCCAAACTCATGTTGAAAATAAATTGCCATTTTAACAGTATTAAGGGGCAGGACCTTTAACACGTGATTCAGCATTGGGTGATCCATCATACCCTTGACGGTAGGATTCATGCGATCACGACCAGCAAGATGGTCCCACTCTTGCCCCCCACCATGTGATGACGCAGCAGGAAGGCAGTGCCCGGTGCTGAACTGGACTTCTCAGCCTCTAGACCTGGGAGCCAGTCAGTTTCTGCTCATTATGAACTACCCAGACTCACTCAGGTCTTCTTTCCAGCAGCACCAAACACAAACAGACGAGGACAAGGCCTCTGGGGGTGGGGGTGCTGGGCTTGGGAAGATTTTGGCATCTGTCTTAAGTGGATGGCGGGTTAGTTGCCCTCCCTGAGGAATGCAGAGGGGGGAGGCCCAGAGAGCTCCAGTCCTGCCCAGCATTTGTTTGGTTTCTTCCTGGACAATCTAGTCCAGGCCTTGCTGCAGCTGGCTTTTCGGTGGACCAGAGCTCGCTCTTTCTCCCTGGAGTTACAGGAGTGAGCAGTGCCACCAGAGGGCAGCTTCCTCCTAGGAAAGAGGTCAGTGGCGACTCCTCAGCAGCTACCTCAGTGCCTGCTGGCAGCCCTTTGCTCTGTCCAGCTCAGTTCCTGAACAGTCCCGTGCAGCTCTTGTCTCTTAAGGGCCTCAGGTCCTAGAAGCTGGGTGCACGGACATTACAGAGATTCCAGGCTGCCCCGTGAGTGTGGGTCCCTTTAAGAAGGAGGGAGCCAGAAGGGGAGGGGAGAGGACTTGTGTTTCCCTCTCTGACCAAGGACCCCAGAGCCCATTTTCACCCCAGGTGGGACAGGGCCTTACATTCCCCTAGGTCCACCCCAGGCTTCCTGTTCTCAAGCCTCCTTGCCCAAGCACCCTGTATCTTGTTGGCCAGTGACAGGGAAACAAGAAGGACAGTGACCTGACTTAATTGTTTGAGTCTTGGGAGGAGAGAGACATTGAGAGACGTTTGAGGGCCTGGCCAAGGTGTTCAGGCCCACCTGCCCATCAGGGCTCAGCAGGGCCTGAGAAGCTAGCTCTGGAGGCCCCTTGGCATAAGGGGCTCAGATCCTAATTGTGTGGCCAGGCACCCCTTGGACCTCCACCTGAGGCCTGTGATCGGCCGATGCCCCTGCTGTGCTCTGGGGTCCATCAGCACCTGCTCCAAGGCCAGCTTCCCATGGGCTGTGGCTGACCTGTGACCTGAGCAGGGAGGGTTACAAAGGTGGCCTGTCTCCAGGAGGCCCAGTCTCAGAGGCCCAGACTCCTCCAGTGGGCAGCTCTGGATCAAGGACACCCTGGTGGCCTTCCCAGCTCTGAAGAGGTAGAGTCAGCTACCCTCATTCCTTGGCCTCGTTTTTCAACAAATATTAGTTGGCAAGTTTCTGTATGTATGTCCAGCATAGAGCTTCTGTCGGGGTGAGTGAGGTACGAGCAGGACTCCTCAAGGGGCTGCTGTCCTGAGCTGAGCCAGGTACAGTATCACAGGGCAACGCTTGGCTATGATTCAAAACAAGGGGCGAAGAAAAAAGATGGACCATGGAGAAATCAGAGTGGGCTTCTCAGAGGAGAGAGCTTTTTTTTTTCTGTGAAAGGAAAATTTCCTGGGAAATCAAATTGGAAGAACAGTTCAAAGCAGATAAACAGCTTCTGCAGGGACAGGAAAGTCAGGAAGGCGAAGGACACCAGGGACTATTGTCCTGGTCACAAAGGATAACCTACCACCAAAGTTGGGCCTGAGAAATTTGTTATATCCTGCTGTGAGGTTCTCAAAGCCAGGCAGGGAGAGCTTGTCACTTCTTCTGACCTCGATGTTGAACTGGTTCCCCTGGACGCACATCCTGGAAAAGAAAGGGGGGCGGGGCTCCGTTCTACATGCTTATGAGTAAACACGGATAGGCGTCAACGTGAACTTGAATTCGCCTGTGGTGTGTCTAGTCCCCGGCAGTGACTTTTCTAAGGAGAAGTCTCTTAATTTTCAGCTGGTTGAGTTAGTGTCTCCATTTTATGATGCACTTGCTTAGATCAAACTGTCAAGATAATTTGGGGACCCTCAGAGTGTTCTGAACAGCTCAAGGGTTCAGTAGAGGACACTCTTGTCCTCTACTGAGAATGGGTGGCAGGACGTTGTCTTGTTCTGGTGATTGAGGGAGGGGAAAGGAACAGGGTGAGCTTCACCATAGGGCAGGAGGAAATTCAGCAACCACCCACCATGGGGCCCTTGGCAACATAGTTCAGACCAAGGCCACGGTGGGGCAGCTCAGTTTACCTTGGAGCCAAGAGGCTCAGACACACGAAGGTCAGCTGGAGACCGTAGCTCATCTTGAGGAGCTGTCCACACAGACAGAGTCCGAGTAGGAATCACTGGGGGGAAGACAGACAGGTGAGGTGAGGGGAGACGTCCCAAGGCTCCCCTGCCTGCAGGCTTCCCCTTCCTGGGCTGGGTAGGCATGGAGGATCCTCGACTCCCAGTTCCCGATAGTCCCTCTCTCCTGGCCTTCTAAGCAGCCCCTGCTCCCAGGGGGTCTTCTAGGATTGCCATCATTTTGGAGGATTGTTTTAAATCAAACCCAAATAAAGACCGAGCCCTTATTTAGACAATGGTTCACCTGAGCCAGGAAATGCAGCCAGCTGTCCTGGTCTGCAGATTTTGTGAGCTGCACAGCTATGCTTACTGTGGCCCTGTTCTGCCACCCCGACTGCGTCTGCCCTCACCCAGTCGGGCGCTGTCCCATCTATCTTACAGTCCAGGCCCTGAGGCAGCTGTGTTGGCCATCTTCACAGCCCCTGGTGTGGTGGGCAGGCGAATCCCGTCTTATGATGGGAAGAGGCTTGTGGAGAGGACTGTGCACTGGAGTGGCAGAGGTGACTCTGAATGCAAGGCTGGCTACTGTGCCTCTGTATTGTGTTCCTTCAGGACAGGCCTGAGCCTCAGTTGGTCGATCTCTGGGAGCTCTGAAGCCATTCAGCTGGTGTGTGCATGGAGACCTTGGGGTAGGCATGGCCCAGGGGACTGGCCCCTTGGATCTACTCTCATGGAGAGCATGAGGTGGACCTCGGTGGCCGTGACAGTGGCTTGGGGGTTCTTGGGTCCAGGCCATCTTCCCAGGCAGCCCCTGGCTGGTTCACCCTGATCTTCGTGATAACTTCTGTAAACCAGGCCACTTTCTAGAGTCCAGCTATTCTGGACCTTCAGGCCAGATTCAGTCCTTCATGATATAACATTGTGCTGCTTAGAGAGCCAGCAGGCTGCTCATTGTAGGAACAGAAACAAGACAGACAGGAGTAAAGTTAAAAGTGAAACTCAGCCATCTGTCAGTGTAGGTTCCTAGACTGCAACAAGTGTCCCCTTCTGCCGTGAGATGTCGATGGCAGTGGCAGACACATGTGTGTGAGGGGTTTGTTTTTTCACCGTGAACCTAAATCTGCTCTAGAAACATCAAGTCTAGGGCTGAGATTGTGGCTCAGTGGCACAGCGCTGGCGTAGCACGTGCAAGGCCCTGGGTTCGATCCTCAGCACCATATAAAAATAAATAAATAAAATAAAGGTATTATGGTCAACTACAACTAAAAAATAAACATTAAAAAAAGAAGGAAACATCAAGTCTACTTTAAAAGGCAAAAGCAAAACAAAGGAAGTATAAGTCTCTCGCTTCTCATACTTCCGAGACAAACGTTGTTAACAGTTGTTTTATTTATGTGTACCTATGTTTCTGCTTAAAGAAAAAAATTGAAAAGTGAAATCCGGTGATTGTATGTGCATTTTGTTATTTACTTGTTTCCATTTCAAGTAGCTGACATTTATTGAACACTTAATGAACGTTGCCTGGGCTGAGTGCCTCTAAAATCCTTATGCTTCTTTGAAGCCGTTACTACCATCTTCATTTGACAAAGGAGAAAACTGAGGCTTAGGGAGGATAAGAAATGTCACAAGGTTCTGCAGCAAGCGAGGGACAGAACTGAGTCCAAGCAGGCTCACCCAGGTCCTTTTTTTTTGGTATTGGGGATTGAACTCAGGGGCACTTAACCACTGAGCCACATCCCCAGCCCTTTTTTTTGTATTTTATTTAGAGACAGGGTCTCACTGAGTTGCTTAGGGCCACGCTAGGTTGCTGAGGCTGGCTTTGAACTCACCATCCTCCTGCCTCAGCCTCCCCAGCTGCAGGGATTACAGGAGTGCACCACCTGCCTGGCTCTCCTGAGTCCTCTTACTCTTTGCTCTGTGATCTGAATGTGCTCTCTGACAATGTCAGCAGCACCTTTCTACCACACAGACGAACACACGCTCTGCTCATGAATATCAGTTTCCAAGTTTTTTCACTACAAAGCCAGTAACGAACACCTTTGCGCCAAATAGCACTGGTGATTTGGCGCTCAGCCTGTCTACCTCCGCCGGTTCCTGCTTGCTCATTGAAATACCAGCTGTAAACCTCACATTACCAACCCACTAGTGACCAAAGTCATACTTTGTTCCTTTAACCCCTTTGCTCCAGGATGCCTTGGTCCTTTTCCTTGGCCCTGATCATCAAGTTTAAGAGGTCCACTAAGTGGCTCCCACGCCTTCCAATGTCCTGGAGGTTGAGGCCACTCCCCCAATGAACCAGACACATGGGGGCACCCCAGAGGGCCAGTCTTGGAGGGGAGAGGCATGCAGGCAATGAAGGGAGGCACCTAGAGCCACGCCAGGGGATCTTGGCGTGCAAACAAAGGGACCCATCAGGGACCATGCCAGGACAGAAGTCTCAGATATGTCCTTTGATTCTCAAAGAGACTTTTGTCAGTGGCACAGAGAAGGTTGGGGGCTCTCTAAATGTCGGACAAGGGAGTGGGGCCTGGCCCTGGCTCACTCTCTAACCCAGTCAAACTTGGCCTCTCCCTGGCCCTGGGTAGCCACGACTTCTTCCTCTTCTGGCCTGAATGGGCTCATTTGGGATATTCCTCCGTTTTACCTCCTACGGGAAACTGCCCTTGACCAAACAAGTTGGGGAGCTACCTAGGCTTCAGCTCTCAGAGTCCTGTGAACAGGGCTTTCCCAGGGGCTAACCTTTCGGAAGAGAATCCTCAGGGCCTCTGAATCCCACCCCTTCAGAGTCTCCAATCTTAGAAACTTTGCCCAGGCTACAAGGGGTAATGTGCCCCATCCTGTCCTGCTCACTCTGGTTTGGTTTCCCAGTGGGTTTCATTCTATCATGGGAGAAGACAGGTGGGAAAGCCTTCTAAAGGACTGCTAGGTCCTGTGTTTGGCTCTTAAGGTCATCTGAATCTCATGGTCTTCTGATCCACAGGTAGAATCTCAAACATGTGAAGGGATTTAGCTCAGGTCACAAAGCAGTCAAATGGCCATGATTTGGATCTATATTTTCCAAGTCCCAGTTCTTTGCATGGCATCTAGGAGGAGGGCCCCCAGTTCCCCACGCTGGACCACATTACCCTTGACTCTGCTTACACCAAATCCATTCTGGGATGGAGAGCCTTGTGCACTGCATGTCCCAAGTGTCAAGCGCAGCTGGTGCCACATGTGGTGTGATCGAGGAGCTGAGCAGTGAATGGCTAGTGGAGTGGAAGGTCAGGCCACGTGTTTGACATAGGCCAGTGGGGTGCACTGAGCCACCAGAGGGCAGTGTCCCCGAAGGTTACTGGGGCAGCTGCAGCTGAGATTAGGGCTGGAAGCACCCAGGCTTCTGCAGTCAGCAGGGCACCTGGCATTCAGAAGGTCGAAGTGGGTGCCTGAAGACAGGCAGCCTATATACTATTACCGACCCTGAGGGCACCTCTGGCTCAAATCTCATCTCCACTTGCAGAAGAGGGTAGGAGCTTCGGATTCAGACACCAAAGTCTCACGACCTCCATTTGCCCCTCTGACCAATGGGAATAAAAACGCTCCCTACACCCTCATGGCCTCTCTCCTCTCCCTTCCATTTCTTCCATGGGATTCTTCCGTAATCCCACGGTGACAAAGAGGACCCCAAACTTCAAGTGCTTTCTAATGTCCCCAGTGCTGCCACCCAGAGTGTGAGCTGATTTGGCACCACTGCAGGAAGGACAGGGCAGACACAGGACACTAGGTCACCCAGGGGGCTGATGGCTCCTTTCCTGGCCTGGCTCCGAGGAATGGTGCGGGGTCTGCGCTGGGCATGTTTCCATTCCCACCACACCTGGGCTGCACCGAGGGGCCGCACCCAGCCCCCTTCCCACTCGGGCACTGTTTCCTTGTCCTTCGTCACTTTGGCACAGACACAGGCATTTGCTGGGAAGCAGGAGTGGAGCCTGAATCAGGCCGAGGTGAGGGCAGTCATTATCAGTGCCATGATCCTGCCCAGGAGGGCCAAGAAAGCAAAGAGGTGCCAGGCGTGCCCTGCACCCGCTGGACTGGCCCTCGGCAGCACAGAAGCAAACAACTGCGGAGCTCATGGCTGATGGGAGGGGCCCTAATTTTGGCTCGTCACTTGTCCCAAGATGGTACTACTTCCTCCTGAGGCTGAGTTTCCCCCCATGTAAAAGGGATCATGCTGTGGAAGTCAGGAGGCAGAGGAAGGGCTCAAACTCCAGGCCCAGCCCCTTCCATCCCTATGTCCCAGGAGGGTTCCTTGGGATCTCCTTCCTCCCTTCCCTCTCTCCCTCCCTCCCTCCAAGGCCAGCAGCTCCTTACCTGGCAGTGAGAGGCTCTGTTAGGGCAGGGCCTCGGGGCTTCCAGGCACGGTATGCAGGCAGGGCATGCTCTTCTGGGTCCCGAGGATTCCCTCCATCTCAGCCCCAACTCTTGATATGGGATCACAGCCACTCTGTTGGGGAAGCCCTAGCTCTGGGAAAGGCAGAGCTGTCGAACCAGCTTGGCAGAAGGAGGTGGGCGGAGCCTCCGGCAGCTCCGCCCTTAGGAGTTCTCATTGGTCCTGGGTGTCTGGGTTGGCCGGCTCCTGGCAAGACAGTTGGCACCCAGGGGTTTCATTCTGAGTTGGTGTCTCCATAGCCTTCTGGACCCCAGTCAGGAAAGAACCTGAAACTTTAGACCTAGGAGAGTCAAGTAAGGTGGGTGACCTCCTCGGCCATGTCAGGGTCTGGAGGATACCTCTCCAGCCTTATCCGGGGAATGGGAATCGGCAGTGTGACCTCAGGCAGACCACTTCACCTCTTCACCCCCAGCTTCCCACCCATAAAACAAGAATTTGCCCATTTTAAACACGGATTTCTGGATGCACATTGTAAAAGTTTCTTTGGGATCAACAGAAGTCCTGTTCTACATTAAGAATTTTAGGTTCCAGGGCCTTGGGTTTTCAGACCGGAAAATTTCAAAAAGAGACTTGGAGACCCAGAAATTGAGGATTGAAGCTTAGCAGGCCAACGGGGAGAGGTGGGGCAGACTGTGGGAGGAATTTGGCCAGATCTCTCCACCTCTTCTCCTTCCCATTTCCCAGACCTCCCACAGAGGATTCTTTAACTCTCACAAGATCCCTTTAGAGACACCCAGAGACAAGGCCTCCGTTCCCCCTGGCCAGGTGAACTTCCTAACAGAAGCACTATGACAGTGTCCCCTGAGCCCTGAGTCCAGTGGCCCTGGAACCCAGCTTGCCGGAGGCTCAGGTTAGAACACCCTGGAGGCTTGGTCTTGCTCCCCAGGGGAGTGGGGCAGGGAGGGACTCATCTGGAGGGGCAGGAGAGAGCTGAGGCTGTGACAAGATGTCCAGAGGCACCTCTGGGACACTGAGGTCAAGCTCCTGCGCAGACCTACCAGTCCTGGAGGTGGGGAGGTGGGAGAAGGGAAGAGGCAGGAGGGAGGGAGCTCAAGGAAGATACAGGAAGTTAAAGCAAATGGGCAGGAGGGAGGACCTCAGGGTACAATGCACCATAGATTCCTCTGGCCCCAAACCAACTTCCTTAGAGCTCCTCTGGAGCCCAGCCAGCCGAGAAAACATTTCTGCGCTGGTTGGTAGGGGGTGGGCCTCTGGAGAGAAAGCCCGTTCATTTCTCCCGGGAGACCTCACTTTCACCTGGGAACCTTGGGGGCGGCTAGAACAGGTACAGCCTAGGAGGAGCCAGTTTCGGGTTCTCAATGAATGGCCGGTGGTTTGGGGCTATTTTCAGAATTTCTAAGAGGCTTTCACACAAAACAAAGGCTTGAGAGTAATAAAGAGAACTCAGAGCTGGGAGGTGGGGGTGTGGGGGGGTCCTCTGACTCAGGAACAGGGAGACTTAGATGAAAGAACCGGGGGCTGGCCTGCTGCAGACTTGGGGAAGTTGCTTAATCGCTCTGGATCTGGATTCAAAGTTGCTGCAAGAATTCAGCAAGGACAAGTGTGGGGTGTGGAGTCTGAAAGCATGGTACAGAGACCCCACACACTGTGGTGCTGAGGGTGTGATTATTCTTGCCTCTGATATTGTTAGCATCGCCTCAAGTCTATACTCACCATTTGTCTCTGTCTATGTGCGTTATGTGTTTCTATTATTAATTGATCTCTATCATGTATTGCTCTTACCTCTCCAATCTTTAATCTACCATCTAACCTATCTTAGTCATCATATCTATTTTTACCTTCATTATCTATCTTATATATAATCTTCTAGACGAACAATTAGATTATTAGTGCTTTCATTGCTCAGGACTTATATTTCTACGTAAATAATCCATGAATTGGTTAATAGACTGGTTGCACCTGGGAACCAAAGCAATCTGTATTTGAAAGAATAAATTCCAGTAGGTATGATAAGTGGTCTCATCTTCAGTTTCCAACAGTGCTTCTGTCTAGTGCCAGCTTCTTAGATTTCTTTCAGATCAACTGAAGAAATTCCCAGTGTGGAGTTTCCAGGGAAGCCATGTTGTTTTCCAGTGGTTGCAGGCAGCCTGGCTGCAGAACCCTGGCACCCCCTGCACCATCCGGGTCACCTAGTTCCAACTGTGACCTTAGTCTCAGGACACGTGAGGTCAATGGTATTTCGGGAAGTCCAGCTATGCCACGAACTACCCACGGGCACCTCAATGTGCACCTCCTAGTGCACAAGGCTACACACCCTGCTACAATCTGTCCCAGAAAAACAAAGGCCACAGTGAGATAGTACTTAGTGTTCTGTGCCTTGTACATACGTCATGATGCGTAAGGGACACTGAGAAGACACAATAGCCCCACCCTCCACACAGTGCTTTGTGATTTTCTGAGTCTTTTGCTGTGCATGTGTCTTTCTTTCTTGAGCTATATAATCCTGTAAAGCAAATGAGGACTGTCTCCCATCCTTCCTTCCTTCCTTCCTTATTATTATTATTTTTCATTCTTTTCCGTGCTGGGGATTAAACCCAGGGATATTCTACCAGTGGGCCACCACCTTAGCCCTTTTTAATTAAAATTTTTTTAAAAATTTTGAGACAGGGTCTTGCTAAGTTGCTGAGACTGGCCTTGAACTTGCGATCCTCCTGCCCCAGCCTCCCTAGCCACTGGGATTACAGTTGTGCGCCTCTGTACCTGGCAAGGCTTGCTTCTTTATTCTTGAGATGAAGCTACACCAGAGTTCCTAGTGACTAAGCAGAAGCACCACTGTGCACTGGAACAGGCCTTGGATTTTTGAGACAGCTGCATTATTAGTGCCCCTGCTGCTCTTAATCAGGCCTTAGAGGACTCAGCAGCCATCGCCCTGCCATCTCCCACACTGAGCTGGGGGCACCCTGAGGTCAGATGCCTAGTCTTGTTAATTGGTGCCTCTGATACCAAGATCAGTGTCTTGGCCACATAGTGGGTCCTGGGGAAGTCCACACAGCCAATGAATTAATACAATCAATGGCACAGGTACACCTGGTAACCGCAGTGTATTACTTACATCTGCTTCTAATTCCTATTAATAACAAATACATACCTCTCTGTAACCACCCCCCCTTCCCCCAGCACTAGGGCATAAGATTGCAAACTCTATATACTTAAAGGACTGGAGACAAAAAGAAATGGTGGGTGCTGGAAACTCCTTTCTTGGCAACGTCTCTGCAGTGGAGAATAGACAGGCAAAGAGGGCGGGCATTTCCCACAGGGATCTGCCCAGAGGCCCCTGTCAACAAGAGCCATCAGGGCGCCTGGGAAAATGCACCTTCTGGGCTTCTCTGCAGACCCGCCAAGGCCTAGGAATTTGAATTTGAAGAAGCTGCCCAGGGAAATTCTGAACCCTGAGGACCCTGCTGCAGGGCAGAGCCTTTTCATTGCCTGGTGACTCAGTTGCTAAGTACTACTGGTGCCTGTCCCCTCCAGGCTGGCTTAGCCTTCTGGCTCAGCCACACCTGGTAAGTGGGAAAGCACAGTCCACTACAACCCATGACAGAGTACACACATGGCGCACACCACAGGGGAAGGGGCATGCACACTCACACAGACACACATACATTTAATGCCATGGAGTGACTCAGGGGAAGTCCTTGGAGAAGGGACACTGAGGCTGAGTCCTGGAGCCTGGGGAGGAGATGGCCAAGTATGTATATGCTAGGGGCAGGGGGCTCAGGCTGGGTTGGGGCAGCTGTCTCTCAGGGGCTCAGGATGCCCAGGTCCAGGTAGGTATCCTGATTGGAGGTGGGAGAAGTGGCTCCTCCTCCTGGGGGCCTCCACCTCAAGCTCTGGAAACCCAGGTTCTGCAGCAGCAGAGCCGGTGCTCAGCTGGAACCCTCCATGCCACCTGCTCTGAGCCAGACTCCCCTGGTCCCAGAGCCCCCCAGGATTGGGCTCCACACCTTGCCCCTGGGGCTCCTCTCCCTCTGCCTCTTCTTGGGAGCTGCTCAGTACCTGGCACCTTTAGGAGCTCTGCCAGTGTTACAGACCCCAGAGATTATTCACAAGGTGCAAACACCATCCCAGGTGCCGTGGGTCACAGGCTAGACCAACATGGAGGCATACAGGGTCCCCAGCGAGGGGCACCATCCATACCCTCACCGTACCCCTGGGAACAGGTGGCTCTGTGGCAGGTTTGTAGCACAACGCCTATACCCACAGTGAAACTTCAAAACCAGAAGAAGGCAAACTGTGTCCCCAGGTGCCCTGTGCCACTTTATATACTATAAAGAGCTGTGCCCAGTACATGGAACCCAGCCTTCCCATGTCCCTTGGCTCGAATAATACATACTCATGCACACACATATACACATACACATGCACACACATGCACACACAATACATGCATACACAGGCATATACATGCACATGTACACACACATGCATGCACCTACACATATATGTACATATGCATGCATATACATACGTACACATAAATGTGCACACGTACATGCACACAGTACATACATACACACACATACACATACATTTTTAATGCCATTTTCACAGGGCAGGGCTGTACACATTATTTCTATTGATCACCTTGACTCCCTGGTCACTTCCCAGAGGTTCTAGAATGCAAATATCCTTCTGCCTTTCCTACAGTTCCCTAGCTGGACCTCTCAGGGCTGTTCTATTCACCAAGTGGGCTCTGCCCACCTTGGGTCCCTGGTATCTTCTTTGGAAGTCAGGAAGCATCTTGGGGTGAGCGGGCTGAGGATCTGTGTCACAGGGGCATGAGGTCTCTGTGGTAGCCCTGGGAACTCAGGGGTCTGGGATAGCAGGTCCTGTTGGGGATTAGAGGTTTCGGTCTCCCTGGCTGAGTGACCAGAGCACAGCATTGGGCTGTGACATCTTGGCGCTGACACGTCCTCCTCCGTGGCTGATGCCGGCCCCTCCCCTGGCCAGCCTGGCTCCAGGGTTCCACCTGTGATGTGGGGACCTTCATTAGCAGGTGTAGAACGCCGTGCCCTTGGCTCAGCAGAGAGGGATGCTTGACACATGATTTCACTGTGGCTTCCAACGT